CGGCGTGCAGCGTGGCGGGCAGCTGCCCGTGGCGCATCGCCAGCACCATCTTCATGACCCCGGCGACACCGGCCGCGGCCATCGTGTGGCCGAGGTTCGACTTGACCGAGCCGAGCCAGATCGGGTCGTCGAGCGGTCGGCCACTGCCGTAGGTCGCCTGCAGGGCCTGCGCCTCGATGGGGTCGCCCAGCGGGGTGCCGGTGCCGTGGGCCTCGAGGGCGTCGACCTCGGCCGCCGCGAGCCCGGCGTCCTCGAGGGCGGCGCGGATCACCCGCTGCTGGGCGGGGCCGTTGGGCGCGCTGAGCCCGTTGGAGGCGCCGTCCTGGTTGACCGCGGAGCCGCGCAGGACCGCGAGCACCTCGTGGCCGCGGGCGCGGGCGTCGGAGAGCCGCTCGACGAGCAGCAGGCCGATGCCCTCCGCGGCACCCATCCCGTCGGCCGAGGCGGCGAAGGCCTTGCAGCGCCCGTCGCCCGCGAGCCCGCCCTGTCGGCTGAACTCCCCGAAGAACGACGGGGACGACATCACCGTGACCCCGCCGGCGAGGGCCATCTCGCACTCCCCCGCGCGCAGCGCCCGGGCGGCCAGGTGCAGCGCCACCAGCGACGACGAGCACGCCGTGTCGACGCTGATCGCGGGGCCCTCGAGTCCCAGGGTGTAGGCGACGCGACCGGACGCGACGCTGCCCGAGCTGCCGTTGCCCAGGTAGCCCGCGACGTCGGCCATCCCGTCGTCGAGGTCGAGCACGCGCGCGCCGTAGTCGTGCAGCATCACGCCCGCGAAGACGCCGACCCGCCTGCCCTTCAGCGAGGTCGGGTCGATCCCGGCGTTCTCGACGGTCTCCCACGCGCACTCGAGCAGCAGGCGCTGCTGGGGGTCCATCGCGAGCGCCTCGCGGGGGCTGATCCCGAAGAACGCCGGGTCGAAGCGGTCGGCGTCGTGGAGGAAGCCACCCTGGGTGGCGGCGAGGTCGTCGGGGTCGGAGAGCGTCTCGAGGCCCCAGCCTCGGTTGCGGGGCGCGGGACCGACGGCGTCGACGCCCTCGACCAGCAGGGCCCAGAGCTGCTCGGGGTCGGCAACCCCGCCCGGGTAGCGGCACCCCATCGCGACGATGGCGACGGGCTCGTGCTCGCGGGCCTCGAGCTCGCGCACCCGGCGGCGGGCGCGACGCAGGTCGGTGGTGGCCCGCTTGAGGTACTCGCGCAGCTTGTCGGTCGTCGCCTCGCCGCGGGGCTCCCCCGGATCGGTGGGCGCGGCGTCGCGGGTGGGATCAGCCGACATCGAACTCGTCCTCCAGCAGGTCGAACAGCTCGTCGTCGGTCGCGGTCGCGAGGTCGTCGTCGGCCCGGGCGCCGCCGTCGTCGACACCCGCCCCACCGGATCGGGGCTGCGGGGCGGTCGCGTCCCCCTGGCGCCATCGCGCGGCGAGAGCGAGCAGGCGCTGCGCGATGCGGTCGCGCTCGGTGCCGTCGTGGCCGTTCATCGACGCCGACACGGCGTGCAGGGTGTACTCGAGGCGGTCGAGCTCGGCGTCGAGGCCCGCCGCACGCGGTTCCCCGCCGGGCAGGTCGTCGTCGAGGCGCTCGGCCAGCGCGTCGGGGGTGGGGTGGTCGAACACGAGCGTGGCGGGCAGCGCGGTCCCGGTCGCGGCGCGCAGCCGGTTGCGCAGCTCCACCGCGGTCAGCGAGTCGAACCCGAGCTCGGAGAACGTCCGCTCGGGCGAGACCGCGGCGGCACCCGTGTGGCCCAGGACCGCGGCGACGTGGCTGCGGACCAGGTCGAGCAGGGCCGCGCGGCGCTCGCCGGGCGCCAGCGCCGCGAGCCGGGCGGCGAGCCCGGCGCCGGCCGCGCCCGCGGCGGCCGCCTCGTCGGCTGCCGTGGCGCGCCGCCGGACGGTGGGGCCACCCGTGAGGTCGCGCCACAGGGGCGGCAGCGCTCCGGCGGCCGCCTGCGCCCGCAGGGCCCCGACGTCGAGGGCGAGCGGGACGAGGACGGCGTCGTCGGCCTCCGCTGCGGTGGCCGCCGGGGGCAGCGCGGCGTCGAGCAGGGCCAGCGCGTCGGCGGCGGCGAGCCCGAGCACGCCGCCGCGTGCCATCCGGTCGACGTCGCCGGCGTCGAGCCCGCCGGTCAGCCCGCTGCGGTCGTCCCACAGGCCCCAGGCCAGCGACACGACGGGGCGCCCGCCGTCGGGACCGTGGCGCAGCCCCCGGACGACGGTGTCGACGGCCACGTTGGCGGCGGCGTAGTTGGCCTGCCCGGGGGCACCGGCGACGCCCGCGCTGGAGGAGAACACCACGAAGGCGCCCAGGTCGTCGGCGGCGGTGAGCTCGTGCAGCGCCAGCAGCGCGTCGAGCTTCGGGCGCAGGACCCGGTCGAGGTGCTCGGTGGTCAGCGAGGCGAGGACGCCGTCGTCGGTCCCGCCCGCGGCGTGCACGACGGTGCCGACCGGGTGGGCCGCCGGGACGGTGGCCAGGGCCGCGCCCAGCGCGTCGCGGTCGGCGACGTCGCACGCCACGAGGTCGGCGCGGGCGCCGGCCTGCCGCAGGTCGTCGAGCAGAGCGGCGGCCGTCGGGGCGGCGGCACCCCGGCGCCCGAGCAGCAGCAGGTGGCGCGCGCCGTGGGCCTGGACCAGGTGCCGGGCCACGAGTCCGCCGAGCGTGCCCGTGGCCCCCGTGACGACGACGGTGCGTCGGGGGTCGACGGCCTGGTCGACGGTGAGCACGACCCCGTCCGGCCCGGGCTCCTCGAGCCGGCGCAGGGCCTCCTCGGCGTCGTGCAGGGGCCAGGTCCGCACCGGCGGAACCGCCGCGTCGCGCGGTTCGCGGTCGACGAGCTCGGCGAGCAGGCCCGCGACGCGCTCGGGACCGGTGGGCTCGGTGGGCTCGGTGGGCTCGGTGGACAGGCCGCGCACCACCGCGGCGG